ATTTAGTAACGTAAACTAATAACAGAATTATAAGCATAAAGATAACAAGAAGGAAGAAATTAATGAGAACCACAAATAATCAAATACGGACAAAACTGGTAAGACAAGGAAGAAATGAAAGCAACAAGATCTATTCAACCAATAACTCTGTTCAATATGAAATGCACAATAAGAATCACAACCGAGGTACCGCCTCGTATTCACATTTCACATTTTCAATCATAATCTTTCCTTATACCGCCGCGTGAGCCTTACATTTAGATAGTTTGAAAACATTTTTCCCAAAATAGCTACACGCACTTTAGCCTACCTTATGTCACGGTGTGGCTTCAAGTAATTCCCTTACTAGCAACACGCACATAAATCCCACCTTATGCCGCCGCATGCACATTAACCCATATCCTTATACCGTATGCACATTAATATCACAACACAATAACAACTCACACCGCAAGTGCCCATATGCCACAACTTGCCAAAAATCAATAATATCAATGTTTCCATTATAAATAGTCCATGGCTCAACCACAATATACACAAGAATCTCAACAATAATAAAATGAATGTGAATTGCTCAACATGAAAGATATCTCAAATATTAACACTTCACCCAATGTGATAACGGCTTTCACAACTTCAACACCAATAACTCAACAAGAAGATATTTTACAAAATAACAACTTCAAGTAAAAATAAGTCAACAATTAAAGATGCAACAAGGCAATGAGGAAGGCAATAACTTCAACTAAAGCATATAAGAGCTACATAATAAGTAAGATGTACGACAAGTTTTAACAATATCAAATGAAGCATATAAGGGTAGTTCAACACATGTAGTAGTTGATTAACAATGAGGATTATAACATGTTATGATAATTCAATTAAAGGCATGGAAAGAGTCAAAATAATCTAAACCGGTCAAATACCACATATAACTCGTGTACCCACTCGTCACCTTGCGTACACGACTTTCACATAACACAAACAGCACAACAATCCCAAATCTGAAGGGGTAGTTTCCCCACACAAAGTTAGGCAAGATACTTGCCTCAACTAGGCCAACTCAATCCTCAAAAATAGCTTTTCCCCTAAAATTCGCCTCCACACGGCTCAAATCTAACCAAAAGTGACTTAATATCATCAACCAATGCAAGAAAAAACAATTACAATAGATAAAGCTTTGTTCTTTACAAAATTCCCAAAGAGTCAATAAAAGTCAACCCCAAGCTCGCCCGGTCAACACCTGGGTCCAAGGATAAATTCCGACTATCCATAACCCCACGAGTCCATATATGTGTTTTGTTTTTAAATCCGAGTCCAAATCGACTCTCAAAACTCAATTCTTCATTTTTCAAAAACTTGACAAAATTTTTCAAATTTTCACTTTGATTCACATAAATTTGATGTTAAATCAAAGATATATTCATGAAATATAGTTGGAAGTTGATTAGAATCACTTACCCAAAGTTTGTAGATAAAAATTCCCTCTCCAAATTGCCTCTTACTGAGCCTAGGGTTCTAAAATATGATAAAATGATATGAAATCCCGACTTTCTAACCTTTTGTCCAGTTGCAGATATCGCATTTGCGACACAGGGTTCGCAACTGCAAAGAAAGGCCCGCAATTGTGGCCACTGATACACTGAGGAAATGTCGCAATTGCGACTCAGACTTCGCAAATGCGAAGACTGTCCTCCTCGCAAATGCGAGTTGTCCTACCCAGGCCCATACTTCGTAAATGTGAACTAGGCATCACATTTGTGATACCTGTCCCTCCCCTGCCATGTTCGCAATTGCGATGTTGGTGCTCGCAATTGCGACATCAGAGCAACAGCACACCAGATTTTCTATTTTCAGTCCAAAATATTCTGAAACTCATCTGAGCCCTCGGGGCTCCAAACCAAAAATCCACACAGGTCTAAAAATATCATACGAGCTTTCTCGCGCGGTCAAAACACAAAAATAATATCTAGAACTACGAATCTGACGCCAAAATGCATGAATTTCAAAGTAAACTTCAAGAACTTCTAGAATTGCCACCAAACATCTGAATCTTATCAAATCAACTCTAAATGATACCAAATTTTGCAGACAAGTTCTAAATAGCATAACGGACCTATTTCAAGTCGCAAAATCTAATTCCGAACCCGATAGCCAAAAGTCAACCTACTGTCAAACTTCTAAACCTCAAATTGTCAATTTTCGGGAAAACAACACAAATCAACCTACAGACCTCCGAATTCGTTTCCAGGCATACGCCCAAGTCCAAAGTCACGATACGAAGCTATCGAAGCCATCAAAACATTCCGGGATCGTTTTTATAAAAGACAGTTTGGTCAATATTTCTAACTTAAGCTTCTAAATCAAGAACCAAAAGGTCTAAATCAACCCAAAATCTTTCCGAAACGAAACCAATCAACCCCGCAAGTCATAAAACCTAAATTATACAAGTGTGAAGCATCAAAATGGAACACGGGTCGTAAATACACAAAACGACCAGTCGGGTCATTACAACATACGTTCTTTTAAGTGTCATAGTCCATTCAGGAACTTTCCCGCCAAGAAAGGATCTCTTATCTACTTCCCAGTAATACTAAGTTGCGTCACCAAAAAGTAGGAGGACTATCTGTACGGGAAAAAATGGTTAATGACAGCTGGGCGAATGATAAAATAACACGTGGAACTAAAGACATGAGGGACATGAGTCAGCAAACAACTGGCATCGAGTGTAAGTATGCAATCGATGCTGAACGAATCCCGAAAAAGGAATAGTCGATAACAAAAACTCAAAGTATTGTCATCGGATAGCATTCAATGTGCAACCATTACAAGGAATATCTGCATTTATAGCTATCTGTTATGCATCCATCAATGTCGTTTTTATTCTCATTCAAGAGGAGCTTGATTTAGGGATCTCTTCTCCCTAAATAGGGCTATAAATAGAAGGATTAACATCTATTGTAGACACGAAACACTCTGCACACAAAAAGCTATAATCTACATTCATATTACGCTCAATTTTAGTGCTCGAACATTGCTTTCACTCTTGCCACCGGAAATGCTAAGTTCTTAGTCATGCTTGTTATCTTCTTTAATTTTATTTGACAATCTTACTTTTGTTTTTATTTATTATTTTTGGGTCAAATCAATTCGCTTGTCTATAAACCGCGGTATAAATTTAGCTGTACAGTTTTACGGGTAAACATTGACCAAGCTCCAACTAAAATAAAAGCTTAAAATTATAATGGATAGAAGGGACTACACTCTTTCCTATAGCGAGAGGAAATCTAAATCGAACCCTTCGATTCGATGAGAACACCGTGGACTCTAGCTATTGCCAGTGCTAAAAAAATTGAAAAATCGAATAGTGTACACACAAATTGTTTCACCAAAATCAAAACCCGAAAAGATACCATGAAAAGAGAGAATTATAAAAACTAAAATATGCTTCCTAAAAATTCCTAATTTTAATTCTAAACCTAACAACAATGGAGTATATCCGGGGAGGAAAAGGACAGAGAGCTCTAGTGTGAGAGAAAGAATGAACTTATATGTAGAAATAGAGCTTCAGGCGGCAATCTAAATATATGTTGCCATCAGAATTTGGATCTTAGTGCCGTCGGACATTACTTGTAGAGGATAAGGGCGAGAACTGGTGAGGAAAAGGGCGAAGAGTTGAAGATGAAAGTTTGTAGTTTGTACGAAGAAGGGCATAAAAATAATACTTCGTCCAGCTATTAATGCATAGTACACGCGTCATATTCTTAAAGCAGATCTGACTTGTACCGGATAAAATAAAGCTTAATACGGATGAATTTACAATGTTACCCCGGGAAGTAGGACGACGAGGAGTTGCTTACTCCCGCTTCTAAATAGTAGGAATATTGAGCTAAATCGATCCCCCCAAATTTCCTCAATTGTTTCATCTTCTTTTTCTTCCTTTTGTTGCTAGTTGTTTCTTCATAGTTCTTTCTTTTGTTGCCTTTAACGATTAGTTGCTACATTTTCTTCGTCTCCCATTGTGACCAGAGTGCAAAGCTATGCCGCTTGAACACTCTTTGCCTAAAAATTATACCGCATTATATTTTCATGGTCAAATATTACTTTTTATACAATTATATTAGACTTTGTATACTCTTAGCGAAATTCTTGATTTTGCCACAGTGGCCACCATCTTGTGTGCATATCAAGGATCTTTATCGTAAGATGGTTTGTCTGATTAATCTGATGGTCACCTTTTTGTTGATTATTTATACAGTTTTTCATGTAATTAGAGGGTGAAGTATAATAATATCATTCCACCTTTTGGCCAAGTTTGTACTTGTAAGAATTAGTTTAACAATATGAATAACTGTTAATTAGTGTATGCTATTCTGGCGCTCTTTTGTTAATGTAGGTGATACATGCATACGACTGAACAACCCAAGTAGTGTAAATCTAATTTGGCCAAAACGTGAAACCTAATGCAATTCTGGAGAAGTAACTAGAGTGAATGGAAATTTTTAAATGTTAGTCGCTCTGTTAAGTTCTTGCCTTGTTATATATTCTAGATAGTCATTAACAAGACAAGTACATGGGGCTTATTTTAGCTTAATGTTTTTCTTTTTTAAAGTTTACAATTCAAAAAGAAGAAAACAAAAGAACGATTAGAGTATGAGAAAGCTGTATCTTTTCTAATTTCCCTAAAACTTTCTCCTCCTAAATTCCCCTTTATGTTTCGTGGAGAGGGGGTGTCGAATAATTGTAACAGTAACTATCACAAAGAATATATTTCCCTGAAAGTTTCTCCTCCTATATACTCCTAAATTATTCCGTTCTGGATAATACTAAGGTGTTTTGGGGGTTACAAATTTTTCCTAACTGATATACAATGTTTTTTTTTCATTTTCTTGTTTGCACATCAATGCAGTATTTAAAGTCATTTTTAGGGGGGGTGGGGAGAGGACGGGCACATAAAGTCCTAACCTCAAAACGAAAAGAAAATGCAGAACCAGGAGAAGGGCATAAATTGAATTATTATGGCCACCAAATAATTAGTACTATTTCGAAAGAAAATAGCAGTGATGGGAAATATATAAAGAAGTGGCTAAGGCAGCATGAAGATATTACAAAGAATATCACTCAACTGAAGATATTAAGGATGATATTGTCATACACTAGATTATACACAAGGTCGATGACTACACTTTTCTCCACACAATTTCCGTTTGATCCAAGCTGCAGTTTATGTATCTGTCCCAAATGGGAGATAAAACATGCTTCAACCCTGCTGTTGGCTGCGCTCAGTGCAAAGGAGCGGTTTAAGATTCAGTAAGTTATAATCCATGTCCATGCCATGAAGAAGGTTTGAAATGACCCTGTAACTCCTGATGGAAGACTGCAGATGAGAATGTGGCATACAACCAAAGCAAACAGCTAACCTTCCAAAACTCAAATGCAACGAGGCAGTCTCTGAAGCTCCAATGCTGCACGAGAAGCAGCATCAGTGAGAGCTGGTATAGTGGAGCTTTTGACCTGAGAAACAATCCCTTCGATTTTTGATATCTCGGGCAAAGATATTGACAATATCATTGCATGTGACAGGTACTGTCGACAAGAATAACCAAGTGCAATCAGAATCCGTTGCAACAGCAAGTGGGAGATGCTTTGTTTCCATGACTCAAGGATAAGACTGACTTTGGGAAGGTTTGTCAAGAATCCAGTGGTAGCTTCCCTTGGAGCTGCCTTGAGCAATAAAATTAAGCATTCAGAAGCTAAATCTGCAACATTAATCTCATTGAAACGGGTGAGTTCTAGTAAGACCCCAACATTTTCACCAAAGTCCATTATATCTCTGATGCATTCATATTGATCAAAGGCACTAGCTCCATCAGAGGAATTTTCATATAATAGACAAGGTTCTTTTGCAAACATAGACCCTCTCATACTGCCTACTGAGCGTAAAAGGAAAGCCCTACACAGACGAAGAGTAGGTTCAATGAAATCTTCCATCTCCTTTGCACATACAAACTCCAAAAGGCTTCCAATCTTTCTGACAACTTTTAGTTGGGAGAGAATTTTGGTTTCCAGTTCTGGTGCAGATGTAAGAGCCAAGCAGAGCAGTAGGTTGTTGACATTTGCAGTTGAGAAATCACCAAGAAGAAATTCAAAGCACTGTGAGATTATCTTCATGTGGACAATGTCTGCAATTTTTATATGGTTATATTCGATGAGCATCACAAGAAGTTTCTGCGCATACACAGGTATTGGGTCCTCATCCTCAATCAAAGATGGGTAGAGAGGAAGGAAGTAAGAATTAGATATGGACTTCAAATTCTCCGACTTTTCTTTTTCAGACGTTTCATCCAGTAAAATGACCATCACATCAAAGAAAATCTTCAGACACAAGAATCTGGCATCTCCATCTTTATTTCCTCTGTATATAACAGATAAACTAGGTAGGATCTGACTGACAAAAATGCTAGAACTTTCTTGAACCACAGATATCTCCTCTGCTATAGACTCGAGAACCCGTAAAAGTGTTATCTGAAAATCATCTCTACCCTGCAACCAAAAGGAAGAATCGTGTTAAGTGCTTCCTGGACCAACCAGAAACCCAATCTTCTGCACACATCTTCAGTTTATACTGGATCAAAATCTTGAGCAAACTAAGCTAAAACGCTGAGCCATGTATCGAGTAAGTGGTTTTAAAGACACAGTCAACATTGAGAGACCATCAGCCTAATTTTCAGAGAAAGTTAAACAAATGCATCCCCCCTTCTTTACCAGACTTCGGAGGTTATACCAGCTTAGTACTAGCTTGGTAGCTAACATTTGGCCCAGGTGACGATTATTAGGAGGTCTTGCAAATGAACCATGTTAAATTCTAGGTACAAACACTAGGACGAGCTTTAGAAGCACTAAGCTTTTGCTTTTCATCTAAATAAGAACTTTACCTTATATATAGTTTTCAATTGGATAATGTAATAAAGATACCGTCAGATTACCTGGAAAGGAGACTCCGCCAGTTTAAGCAGATTTGCCAACTGCTGCAGAACCTGACGACTAGCAACCCTTCTTTTCAATGAAGCACACCCAAGAAGATGGAGAACAACAGGAAACAAATGCATACTATTCTTAGAAGAATTTCGACTAGTGAGGCTAATCATCTGTCCACGACGTTTACCACCCTTCAGTTGCTGAATATCCCCAGATATAGACTCTAGCAAACTTGGTACAGTTGATGCAACAACCATCCCAAGTGCATCTAAACACTGCTTCACAAAGTCGTCCTTCTCCTTTACCAACCTATCAACAGTCGAGAGCAGTTTTGCATTGCAAAAAAATAGTGGCAGCCATCTCTTCCCATTCATACAAAGTAGAGCCACAAAAATTAGTGTCTTTCCCTTCAAGACTTCACTTCCCTGCTCAATTAGAGTCACAAGGTTAGGAACAAGATTCTTGTCTTCCACCAAGGTGAGAAGGTACCTTCCAACATTTGGAAGCATATGACTTTCAAGGAGGGTCATGTTCAGAATGTTTAAGCAGATTTGTTGCTCTCGTGGATTACGCTTAACCAGGCTTGAAGCCATATCCTTGAATGAGAGTTTTTCAATGACTCGTTGAATGCTAGAAGGGTTAAAACGAACAAGACGAGCCAAGCAAGACCCTGCTGTCAGCCTCATGCTATCCTGCTTTCCAGGAGCCCTAAATATGTAGCAGAGGTTAGTAATCACATCTTGGCTGGCGAAACGAGCTGACCAGTACCCTCCTTGACTGGAGATATTTTCAATTGTCCTCAGAGCATAAAGTTGAGTAATATCATCCTCTCCATTCCGTAAAACTGATGAAACCAATGAAATTATTGGACTTGTCACCTACAAAAATTAATATATTCAGAAAGGCATGTTAAGACAGAATGCGAGACTTTTCTACATGTAAAGATAGTTGTGCTTGGATGATTTAACTTATTTTTCCAATAACTCCAAGAGAAATCTCTTCACGTTCTTGTTCATTTTATTGCTAAATCCAGTTTTCCATTACAGGGGAAATGCAAGCTTATTAGATCTTCAGGAAATTACAGAAAAAAAAAACTTGTAGAATCTTGTTTTATAAAGATTCAACAATATTTTGTAATGTAGGACAGAGCAAACAGGAAAAATATTGAAGTCTACACCAAGTTTCCAACTGACATCCATCTTATTCTTTAGAATTTTCATATTTGAAATATGTGCATGTGCAGGTTTATATACATGATTTACTACAAGACCATCATTATCTACACTTACATGTCTATGGATATATGTGACTAGAATAATCACTATATTAAAAACATATGGTGACTAACACATTAATCAGTATACCTTTATATACTAGTACTTGCATTATTCCCCATAAGGGTTGCACTGGCGCTAGGATTGTGTTTGTGACAGTGTCAGTGATTTTATATGATTTGTCATAGAACGCTTATACTTAAAACCCACTTAAAATATAGCCTAGTAATTTATTGTGAAAAGAAATTTAACAGATAATTATTAACTTGACAAGCAGCACTAGAATAAAGTTACAGCAATGCCAAGGATGATACCTGCCAACAGGATGAGGGTCGGCTGTCCTTAGATGGAGATTCCATTGGTTTATTATCCCGCGCATGCTCATTTTGAGTAGATATGTAAAATAGCAATTCGCCCAAAGCAGCCATGGAAAACCTTCTCACTTTCTCTTGCCTGTCTCTCAGACCATCGGTTAGTGCACCTAAAATTCCAGAATTTGCCAGCTCATCTCCAATAAAAGTAGAGTGACGAATCAACAAGCCAATAAGTGAAGCAAGTTGAGCACGCAACAGCGAAGCCTTGGAGTGACGAAGCATTTTGACTAGAACCAACATAATAGGTCCATTGGTCAAGATGTTGGCTGCCTCAGCATTGCTGGTCAAAAGCTCAAGGTACCTGATCAGATTTTGCTTCTCCCCAGAGGCAGTATTCCCACTAACAATACTGATGATCCTACTACTAAAAGTGTCTAATTGCTCCTTTGACATTTTGACAAAATCAGACACCTGAGGTGCATCGAATGAAAGTGAAGGAATCGCATCTGAACCTTTATCAGATTTTTTGCTAGGCATTACAGGTCTAACTGAAAGATCAGAAGGATGCCAGAGAATATCTGAAAGGTTCTTAGATGGTTTTGAGATATCAGAGACATTCCCGGGATTTCCTTTAATCGCAGGAGTCTTTAGCTGAGGGCTATCACTTGGTAGCATAGCAGCCACTTCGTATTCAGAAGTCGGTTCATGGTCAGATGTCCTTGAATCATCTGAGAAAGGTGTATTAACCACAGCTGATGCATCTGGATGTCTGCTGTCAATATCCATCTCTTCCACGTGACCCTCTGCCTGATTTGGAGTTGAAGTAATTGACTCGGGACATTGAGTGCTGTCAGTTTCATCAGCTTCATCTTGTGTATCATCCTCATTATTCTCATTAAAATCAAGTTCCATGTCAGTATTTTCAACCTTCAGGTCAGCATCATTCTCAGAATTATTAGGCAATGGCCTGCGGTAGTTCTCCTTCTCATTTTCCCTCATTAAGTTTGATTTTGCAATTCTTGAAAGACGTAATAGATTGACGCCCTTAGTATTGCTTGAGATGTCTTTCTGCTTGTCATCAAGTGTCCTGCCAGAACCCTTCATTTGAGCTTTCCGGCCACTGGATATGCCCTTGATTGGTGTCACGTGACCTCTAGATCCAGTATTTGAATTTTCATCCTGCCTGAGGGATGCCTTTGAATCTTTTTCACAGGTCTTTTGTGGTGTCTTGTTTTGAATTGGTTTGTCACTGTTCCGTTCTGAAAGGCATAATCTAGAAGAAACTTCTATCATATTATCAAAGGCAGGCTGAGGAGGTAAAGGCACTGCAGAAAATCTTGTTTTCCAGAAAGCATGTCCAGCAAGCTCGGGCCACTGCATTCTTTCAGCAGGATCTTTTATTAGAAGAGAGTTAATCAGATTGACAAAGGGGCGGCTTGGTGTGCCAGGAAGTTCTGGAGTTGGATCAGAAATGATTGATCTCACTAA